ACTAAAAATACAAAAAAATTAGCCGGACGTGGTGGCGGGTGCCTGTAGTCCCAGCTACTAGGGAGGTTGAGGCAGGAGAATGGCGTGAACCTGGGAGGCATAGGTTGCAGAGAGTTGAGATCGTGCCACTGCACTCCAGCCTGGGCAACGAGAAAGAAACTCCATCAATAACATAACAAAATAACATAATATACATAACGTATATACAATAAAATAAAATAAAATAAAATAAAAAACATGGTGGTAAAACAAAGATGTGAGGCCTTGTGCAGTGGCTCACGCCAGTAATTTCAACACTTTGGGAGGCCGAGGCAGGTGGATCACCTGAGGTCAGGAGTTCAAGACCAGCCTGATCAACATGGTGAAACCTCGTCTTTACTAAAAACAAAAAACACAAAAAATTAGCTGGGCATGGTGGTGGGTGCCTGTAATCCCAGCTACTCATGAGGCTGAGACAAGAGAATCGCTTGAACCCAGGAGGCGAGGGAGGTTGCAGTGAGCCAAGATTGTGACATTGCACTCCAGCCTGGGCAACAAGAGCAAAAAACTCAGTCTCAAAAACAAACAAACAAAAAACAAACAAAAACAAAGATGTGATCACCCCCAGTCAGTGGGGTCACTTCTCTACTGGGGAGAGCAGGGTGTTGTGTTCCAGACAGGACATAAAGAAGGCAGGGAGGCCAGGCGCAGTGGCTCATGCCTGTAATCCCAGCACTTTGGGAGGCTGAGGTAGGCGGATCACCTGAGGTCAGGAGTTCGACACCAGCCTGACCAACATGGAGAAACCCCATCTCTACTAAAAAAACCAAATTAGCCGGGCGTGGTGGCACATGCCTGTAATTCTAGCTACTAGGGAGGCTGAGGCAGGAGAATCGCTTGAACCTAGGAGGCAGAGGTTGCAGTGAGCCAAGATTGCTCCACTGCACTCCAGCCTGGGCAACAAGAGCGAAACTCCGTCTCAAAAAAACAAAATAAATAAATAAATAAATAAAGAAAGAAAGAAAGAAAGAAAGAAGGTAGGGAGATAAGAGTGTGGGCAATGTCTTCTTTTCTATCCAGGTTATGGTTGCACAAGGGGTTCACTTTAGAATTATTCATTTAGCTGTATATGTTTGTTATGTGCTTTCTGTACATGTTACACTACACACACACATACAGCTTAAAAAAAAAAAAAAAATCATTGTAGGGGCCAGGCACAGTGGCTCACAACTATAATCCCAACACTTTGGGAAGCTGAGGCAGGAAGATTACATGAAGCCAAGAGTCTGCGACCAGCTGGGCAACAAAGCGAGACCTCTTCTCTACAAAAAAATTAGCCAAGTGCAGTAGTGTGGGCCTGCGGTCCCAGCTACTCGAGAGGCTGAGGTAGGAGGACCTCTTGAGCCCAGGAGGTTGAGGCTGCAGTGAGCTCTGACCGCACCACTGCACTCCAGCCTAGGTGACAGTGAGACCCCATCTCTGGAAAACAACAACAACAACAACAACAAAACATAATAATAATAAAAAATTTAAATAAAAAAAAAAAAATCATTGCAGGAACTAAAGTTTGTAACCCTAGCCTGGACCTGAACAGCAGGTGATGAGAGGTATGGGCCTTCCAGAGTAAGATGTTCAGAACAAAAGGGAGGACGCTGGGGTGGATGAGTCCTCTAGGAAGAGGCAAGCGGTGAGTGACTCGAGGTATGTGGCCAGGGAAAGGTCCTGCTTACCCAGGTAGTTCTGCCAGCAGTTCCTGGTCTGGTTCTGGTTGGGGAAGCGGCTGTCAAAAGGGGCAGTCTTGTAGTTCTTGATTTTGGTCTCAATGTCTTCTTCCGCCATGGTGCTGAATCCTGGAGGCGAAAGGAGTGGGTGTTGACAGGGGCCCCAGGGCCCCTGAGCAAGCCAGACTACCCAGGATCAATGGAAGAGGGCAGGCACAGAAGAATGGGCTGAGTGTGGACAAGTTCCTGCCTCTCAACATACACAGAGATGAGGGGCAGGGCGAATTCACACATCTGAATGTGGCGGTCACGGCAGGGTTGGGGTACAACTCCTCAGCAAAATCAAGCCTGGTCCCCAAATAACATGAGCTGACACTCACTGAGTGCTTACTACATGCCAGGTGCTGTTCTATACACATTACTCCTACTTTACTCTAAAAGGTAGGAACTATTACTATCACCATTGCCCAGACGAGGAAGGAACAGGGTGTCTAAGTGACTTTCTAAGGTTAAACAGCATAAATATAAATGGTGGGCTGCCTCCGTTGTTGGCATAATCTACACTGCAAAGATTCTTAATCTTTTTGGTGCCACAAACTCCTCAGCAGTCTGATGAATCCCATAAACCTCTCGCTGAATTTTTTTTTTTTCTTTTTTTGAGACAGAGTCTTGCTCTGTCACCCAGGCTGGAGGGCAGTGGTACGATCTAGGCTCACGAACCTCCGCCTCTCAGGTTCAAGCAATTCTGTTGCTTCAGCCTCCCGAACAGCTGAGATTACAGGCGCCCGCCACCATGCCCTGCTAATTTTTTTGTATTTTTAGTAGAAACAAGGTTTTACCATGTTGGTCAGACTGGTCTCGAACTCCTGATCTCAAATGATCCGTCTGGCTTGGTCTCTCAAAATGTTGAGATTACAGGAGGGAGCCACCAAATCCAGCCTGAATATGTTTAAATGTATTTAAAAATTGCATAGGTTCCATGAGTACACGTAGAAGAGAAAAAAACCTGCACAGCATCACAAAGAAAACCAGTTATATCCAGCTGAGGATTCATTAAGGAATACCATTTTTGCAGGGTGCAGTGGCTCACGCCTGTAATCCTCGCACTTTGTGAGGCCGGGGGGCAGGGCAGGGTGGATCACCTGAGGTCAGGAGTTCAAGACCAGCCTGGCCAACATGGTGAAATCCTGTCTCTACTAAAAATACAAAAATTAGCTCGCGTGGAGAGCAGTGGCGCGATCTCAGCCCACTGCAACCTCCACCACCTGGGTTCAATCCCAGCTACTCTGGATGTTGAGGCAAGAGAATCGCTTGAACCCAGGAGGCGGAGGTTGCAGTGAGCCGAGACTGTGCCAGTGCACTGCAACCTGGGCAACAGAGCAAAAACACTGTCTCAAAAAAAAAAAAAAAGAATACAATTTTGAAGTAATCATAAATGAATATAGTACTTTGTGACATTTGCAGTTATAATGTGATATAAGAATATCTGTGATTTTGGGTGGGGCACGGTGGCTCACACCTGTAATCACAGCACTTTGGGACGCTGAGGTGGGAGGATCGCTTGAGCCCAAGAGTTCAAGACCACCCTGGGCAACATGGTGAAACCCCATCTCATCTCTACAAAAAAATATTAAAATTGGCCGGGAACGGTGGCTCATGCCTGTAATACCAGCACTTTGGGAGGCCGAGGTGGGCAGATCGCCTCAGGTCAAGAGTTCGAGACCAGCCTGGCTAACATGGAAAAACCCTGTCTCTACTAAAAATACAAAAAATTAGCTGGGGGTGGTGGCATGTACCTGTAATTCCAGCTACTCGGGAGGCAAGACCTTGTCTCAAAAAATAAAATAAAATAAAATAAAATTAAAATTAGCCAGGTGTGGTGGCACATGCCTGTGGTTCCAGCTACTGAGGTAGGATCGCTTGCGCAGGGAAGCAGAGGTTGCAGTGAGCCGAGATTTCTCCACTGCACGCCAGCCTGGGTGACACAGAGACCCTGTCTCAAAAAAGGAGAAAAAAATAAAAAAAAGGACTATATATGATTTTGATTGCTAACAAAATCACAGCTGCTGCTAGTACGACCGAGGCTGTTACCTCAAAAGGTTAGTAAAAACACAGATGTAATTCCACCCCCCACTCCAATTCAAGTACTAGCATTCCTTGAATTCTACCAACCCTGCGGACCCAGGGTTAAAAACCTTTAATATAATGTCTCTGAAGAAATGACAGTGTTCGTCAGGAACCTGAGAGAAAGTGTCTACTATATTCCAGTGAATCCTAGGAGTCGTGGGGCTATACAGAGACTTGCAGAGCAGTGTCAGATTCAAGCGGCGCAAGGTGGTGGTGGGGGTCCGGAGCACTAAAACAGTCTTCCGGTGGGGAGGTGGGGTGTAAAACACCAGCTGCTGGGGCACAGACGCAATCGGTAGGATCGTTAGCGGCGAGATCTCGACCCGGTATCTGAGGATGAGGGTGCATCGGAAATGACGCTGCAGCCCCTCCAACGTCCAAAAGGGAGGATGGACTGGACACCCGGGAGCCAGGCTGCGGCCCAGGCAAGCCGCGGGAGGCCACGCCTGTGAATTAGCCGTGAAGAGCCCTGGAGGACAAACTCCTGGGTCAAATCCTGCTCTCTGTGTAGGCTCAGCTAAGTCGCTTGGTATCTCTGAGCCTGTTTACTGACAAAAGGGGATAATCGCAGGCCCTCTCTCACAGGGCTGCTGAGAGAGTTAAATGAATTAATTAAAGTTGTTTGGGATGTTGCCCGGCATCAAGGAAGAACCGTATCATTGTTAGATCTTACGATGAACAGAACAGGGCCCCGGGGCCCAGGGAGGCCGGACGCCGCCAGCCGGAAGCCTCAACCCGTTCTCAGGGAAGCTGGGGTCCGGCTCCTCGGCCCGCTAGACTGGGGTCCCAGGTTCCAGAACCCTCCACACTCACCTAAAGGCACCCCAGATGCAACTTGCAGCTCAATGTCACCCTCAGCAAAGATACCAGAGTCGGACAGGAAGCGGAACTATGACCAGCCGGAAGCTAAGCGAGGTGGGGACTAGGGGAGTCTTTCCAGAGGCTAGAGCTCCCTCGCAGGAGGAGGCCACTGAAGCCATTCAAGCCACGCCCAGCAAGAGAACTACGACTTTCTATTGAGTTGAATGCTTGTTCATCATCACTTCTGGCCCAATCGTGAGCTTGCGCGGCTGGGGCTCGGCCGCCTGTGGTTACCGGGTCTTGTCCGAGAGAGCGTTATAGATCCCTGGGCTGGCTGGAGGGTGGGTGCGGGTAAAAATGTCCCAGAGAAACTACTTTTATTCATGCAAGAAATGTTTATTGAACGCTTTTTCTGTGTCGGTTATTTCTTTTCTTTAAAAATGTTTTTTCTTTTATTTTTTTTATTTTTTTTTATTTTTTGAGACGGAGTCTCGCTCTATCGCCCAGGCTGGAGTGCAGTGGCGCGATCTCGGCTCACTGCAAGCTCCGCCTCCCGGGTTCACGCCATTCCCCTGCCTCAGCCTCCCGAGTAGCAGGGACTACAGGCGCCCACCACCGCGCCCGGCTAATTTTTTGTATTTTTAGTGGAGACGGGGCTTCACCGTGGTCTCCATCTCCTGACCTCGTGATCCGCCCGCCTCGGCCTCCCAAAGTGCTGGGATTACAGGCGTGAGCCACCGCGACCGGCCCTTTTTAAATTTTTTGAGACAGGGTCTTACTCTATGGTCTCGCTCTGTCGCCCAGGCTGAAGAGCAGTGGCGCCATCTCAGCTCACTGCAACCTCCACCACCTGGGTTCAAGCGAGTCTCCCGCCCCAGCCTTCCGAGTAGCTAGGATTACAGGTGCGCGCCACTACTCCTGGATCCATATATATGCATTTTGTAGAGATGGGGTCTTGCTATGTTACCCAGGCTGGACTCGAACTCCTGGTCTCAAGCGATCCTCCCGCCTCGGCCTTCCAAAGCGTGAGGATTACCAGCGTGACCCACTGTATTCGGCCATCAGGCACTTCTATAAGGGTTGAGAAAGCACGCTGCACAAAACACAGAAATCCCTACCCTTATAATATTAAATAATTAGAGCGCCAATTGTTAGGGGATTGAAAACGAACCAATCTCTCCCTAGGTGTCACTCGTCAGGGTATTAGGAATGCCCAGATTTTACCTCCCTGCTGGTTACCATCTTTTCCCAAACCTCTGAAAGCACAGATTAACCAAGATTTGAGTGGCCAAGGGCTCAAGAACCAGTCTTGCATCCCAGGCAGGTGGGGTTAGGAGTTAAAGCTTGGATCTATGAAGGGTCTGGCAGAAAGGATTCCATTTGGGAAAATGGCTAACTCTGTCCTTCTGGCCACAGAGTTGTCCTTGTTTCCGATCTTTCTCTCACACCTGATAGCTGACCTATCAAGAAATCCCGTTGGTTCTGCCTGTAAATATATCCATAATCTTCCTCTAGCACATTTGGTTTAAGCCACCATCACCTTCAGACTGGACTATTGCAGCAGCCCACTCCCTGGTGTCCTGGCTTCCAGCTGCCCTCTGCAGTATGTCCACCCAGTCAGAGGAACACGGGTCTGACTTCTAGTCTAAAGCCAATGTCCTTATAAATGATCTACACAATTTGGCCCTTCTCTCCTCTCCTCCCCTCCCCTCCTCTCCCCTCTCCTCTCCTCTCCTTCTTGAAACTCAGTCTCACTCTGTCGCCCAGGATGGAGTGCAGTGGTACTATCTTGGCTCACTGCAACCTCTTCCTCCTGGGTTCAAGTGATTCTCCTGCCTCAGCCTCCCGAGTAGGTGCAATTACAAGTGCACGCCACCACTCCCAGCTAATTTTTGTGATTTTGGTAGAGAGGGATTTCACCATGTTGGTCAGGTTGGTCTTGAACTCCTGACCTCGGTCTTGAACAGGTGATCTGCCCACCTCGGCCTCCCAAAATGCTGGGATTACAGGCGTGAGCCACCCCACCTGGCCAATTTGTCCTTTTTTAGACAGAGTTTCATTCATGTTGCCCAGACTGGAGTGCAGTGGTGCGATCTTGGCTCACTGCAACCTCCACCTCCCAGGCTAGAGCGATTCTTCTGCCTCAGCCTCCCGAATCACTGGGATTACAGGCATGCGCCACCACACCTGGCTAATTTTGTATTTTTAGTAGAGATGGGGTTTCTCCATGTTGGTCAGGCTGGTCTTGAACTTTTGACCTCAGGTGATCTGCCCACCTTGGCCTTCCAAAGTGCTGGGATTACAGGCGTGAGCCACCGCTCCTGGCTATATCTGTTCTTTTAAATTATGTTTACCTCTTTTTGCCTCCCTCAATAGAAAAGAATCATCATAAAGGAAGAATTTTTGTCTGCCTTATTCACCATTGTATCTAAAGCAGTGCCTGGTACACAGGAAGTACTCTATAAATATTTGCTGAATGCAAGAATTTCTTGTGGAAATGAAGGAAGCATTTGGGGACTAGGAGAGGGAGCTATGGAAGAGAACTGCTTTCCTTCCTCCCCTGTCTGGCCTCTAAAGCTTCTCCCACACCGTCTTAGGTGCAGTGTCCAGATGGAACTGGGTTAGGGACCTCTTCTTACACATTCTGTGTCCATCAACATTGTGGTTATTTGTGGAATTACCTGTTTACATGCATGTATTCATCCCCTGCAATGAGATCTTCCTAAAACCCAAATCCCTCTCCCTGCTTAAAACACCTTGATGGGGGCCAGGCATGGTGGCTCACTCCTATAATCCCAGCACTTTGGGAGGCCAAGGTGGGCGCATCACCTGAGGTCAGGAGTTCCAGACCAGCCTGACCAACATGGTGAAAACCCCATCTTTACTAAAAATACAAAAATTAGCTGTGTGTGGTGGTGCGTGCCTGTAATTCCCGCTATTTGGGAGGTTGAGGCAGGAGAATTGCTTGAACCTGGGAGTCGGAGGTTGCAGTAACCTGAGATTGCATCACTGCACTCCAGCCAGAGTGACAGAGTGAGACTCCATCTCTAAAAACAAACAAACAAAACCCTCGATGGCTCCTCAGGAGCCCTGGAGACAAAGTCTGGGCTCCTCACCATGGCCCACAGATCCTTTATGAATTGGTCCCTGTTGCTGCTGTAGCCACATTTATTTTTAATTTTTTTTTTTTTTTTTTTTTTAACAGAGATGGGGGTCTCCCTTATGTTGCTCAGGCTGGTCTGGAAATCCTGGCCTCAAGCCGTCCTCCTGCCACAGCCTCCCAAAGTAATGAGATTACAGGTGTGAGCCACTATGCCTGGCCCACATTGATTGTTTTGAGCAGTGGTATGAGATCGTCCACTTCTGGACCTTTGATCTTGTTCCTTCTGCCTGAAACATTCTTTGCTTACCTGACTTCTCAAATCAGCTGTCTCCTCCTCCAGGGAGTCTCCCCTGACCCTTCTCCTCCTGGGCTAGGTCAGGTCTCTCCTTTTGGCCTCCCTCGATCCCCTGGAGTCTTCTCATCCCAGCTCAAAACATTCTGGTGATGGGTCTGTCTTCCCACTGGACTGTGAGCTCCCTGAGGGTAGGGTCCACGGCTGTCTTGGTCCCTGCTCTATCCCCAGCATTGCCCACAGGACGACCACACAGCAGGCTCTCTTTAGGAGCTCAGTGGCTCTCAGAATGGTGTAGGCTGTCTTTAGAGTGTTGGTCTGAGTCCTGTGTCGAGCTTGGAGTGGGGAAAGGGTGAGTGGTGTTGGGGTGCAAGCACTAGTTTTAATTCCTTGACAATCCCTTGCACTGGGAGGACACACAGCACAGTAAGCCCTTTTTGGAGTCTGAGTCTTCTCTTTAAGGGGACACAGCATATATACTCTCATGATTGGGTCTGATTCCTTTACAAGTCCCGACACAGGGCAGGCACACAGTAGGCCCTATGGGCTTTGGGTTTAGTTTCTTTGCCTCTCTCATCACAGGGCGGGCACATGGCAGGCTCCCTAAGGGTCTGGGTCTCCTTTGGTCATTGCCCAGCACTGGAGGTAGGTGATTCGTTATCTCTTGAACTCCTGACCTCGGTCTTGAACAGGTGATCTGCCCACCTCGGCCTCCCAAAATGCTGGGATTACAGGCGTGAGCCACCCCACCTGGCCAATTTGTCCTTTTTTAGACAGAGTTTCATTCATGTTGCCCAGACTGGAGTGCAGTGGTGCGATCTTGGCTCACTGCAACCTCCACCTCCCAGGCTAGAGCGATTCTTCTGCCTCAGCCTCCCGAATCACTGGGATTACAGGCATGCGCCACCACACCTGGCTAATTTTGTATTTTTAGTAGAGATGGGGTTTCTCCATGTTGGTCAGGCTGGTCTTGAACTTTTGACCTCAGGTGATCTGCCCACCTTGGCCTTCCAAAGTGCTGGGATTACAGGCGTGAGCCACCGCTCCCGGCTATATCTGTTCTTTTAAATTATGTTTACCTCTTTTTGCCTCCCTCAATAGAAAAGAATCATCATAAAGGAAGAATTTTTGTCTGCCTTATTCACCATTGTATCTAAAGCAGTGCCTGGTACACAGGAAGTACTCTATAAATATTTGCTGAATGCAAGAATTTCTTGTGGAAATGAAGGAAGCATTTGGGGACTAGGAGAGGGAGCTATGGAAGAGAACTGCTTTCCTTCCTCCCCTGTCTGGCCTCTAAAGCTTCTCCCACACCGTCTTAGGTGCAGTGTCCAGATGGAACTGGGTTAGGGACCTCTTCTTACACATTCTGTGTCCATCAACATTGTGGTTATTTGTGGAATTACCTGTTTACATGCATGTATTCATCCCCTGCAATGAGATCTTCCTAAAACCCAAATCCCTCTCCCTGCTTAAAACACCTTGATGGGGGCCAGGCATGGTGGCTCACTCCTATAATCCCAGCACTTTGGGAGGCCAAGGTGGGCGCATCACCTGAGGTCAGGAGTTCCAGACCAGCCTGACCAACATGGTGAAAACCCCATCTTTACTAAAAATACAAAAATTAGCTGTGTGTGGTGGTGCGTGCCTGTAATTCCCGCTATTTGGGAGGTTGAGGCAGGAGAATTGCTTGAACCTGGGAGTCGGAGGTTGCAGTAACCTGAGATTGCATCACTGCACTCCAGCCAGAGTGACAGAGTGAGACTCCATCTCTAAAAACAAACAAACAAAACCCTCGATGGCTCCTCAGGAGCCCTGGAGACAAAGTCTGGGCTCCTCACCATGGCCCACAGATCCTTTATGAATTGGTCCCTGTTGCTGCTGTAGCCACATTTATTTTTAATTTTTTTTTTTTTTTTTTTTTTAACAGAGATGGGGGTCTCCCTTATGTTGCTCAGGCTGGTCTGGAAATCCTGGCCTCAAGCCGTCCTCCTGCCACAGCCTCCCAAAGTAATGAGATTACAGGTGTGAGCCACTATGCCTGGCCCACATTGATTGTTTTGAGCAGTGGTATGAGATCGTCCACTTCTGGACCTTTGATCTTGTTCCTTCTGCCTGAAACATTCTTTGCCTACCTGACTTCTCAAATCAGCTGTCTCCTCCTCCAGGGAGTCTCCCCTGACCCTTCTCCTCCTGGGCTAGGTCAGGTCTCTCCTTTTGGCCTCCCTCGATCCCCTGGAGTCTTCTCATCCCAGCTCAAAACATTCTGGTGATGGGTCTGTCTTCCCACTGGACTGTGAGCTCCCTGAGGGTAGGGTCCACGGCTGTCTTGGTCCCTGCTCTATCCCCAGCATTGCCCACAGGACGACCACACAGCAGGCTCTCTTTAGGAGCTCAGTGGCTCTCAGAATGGTGTAGGCTGTCTTTAGAGTGTTGGTCTGAGTCCTGTGTCGAGCTTGGAGTGGGGAAAGGGTGAGTGGTGTTGGGGTGCAAGCACTAGTTTTAATTCCTTGACAATCCCTTGCACTGGGAGGACACACAGCACAGTAAGCCCTTTTTGGAGTCTGAGTCTTCTCTTTAAGGGGACACAGCATATATACTCTCATGATTGGGTCTGATTCCTTTACAAGTCCCGACACAGGGCAGGCACACAGTAGGCCCTATGGGCTTTGGGTTTAGTTTCTTTGCCTCTCTCATCACAGGGCGGGCACATGGCAGGCTCCCTAAGGGTCTGGGTCTCCTTTGGTCATTGCCCAGCACTGGAGGTAGGTGATTCGTTATCCCAAAACTAACCACGGAGGTGGGTGGTCCGCGAGGACTGCGGAGGGAGTGAAGGCTGAGTCGAGAGGCGGGGCCTAAGGGGGCGGGACCCGGGAAACTGACAGCGAGGGGCGGGGCTTAGGGACCTAGGCGCTTAAGAGACTTGGGGCTGGTGGCCCTCACTCCAGGGTCTTCGGGGAGGAGAGGACTAAGGCACTACAGTCTTTTAGGGAGCAAGGATCCAGGCTCCTGGATTATGTGAGAGGAAAGAGATGAAGGCCCAGACGCCTGGGGTCTCCGAGGTGGGGAGGCCAAATTCCAACATGTGGAGCTGCACACTTAGGCTCCCTAGCGCGTGTAGTCAGTATCAGCGGGAAGAATGCAGCAGAGGAGCACGCGCCAAGAGGTCTGACCGGTAATTTTTATTGTGTCTCTGCTCCCCTTCCGCCCCCCGCACAGTTCGGATAGGCTAGGCTGGGCACGCGGCCCCCGAAACGGTAGGTGTACTTGCGCCCCCCGCTCTTGCGCACGATGTCGCGGCGATAGTAGTAGCGCAGGCCTCGGCTCAGCTTCTCGTAATTCATGCCCGGCTTTCTCTTGCGCTCGCCCCACAGCCTAGCCACCTAGGACAGAGGCCGGGCTCGGTCTGAGTGGGAAGGGGCGGGGCTTGGCAATAGTTGGGCGGGCCGGGCCTGGGGACGGTGTGCAGTGCAGACCTGGGCGAGGCCCCGCGGAGCCGGGTGGAGACTGGGTTGGCTGAGGCAGAAGTCCAGGCGGGAGATTGGGTTTGAGAAGGGTTGGGCGGAGCCCCGAGTGGGCCGGGGAGGGGCGGGGCCAAGGCCTAGGCGATTGAACCTAGCCCTTGGGCGGGGCTAAATTGAACTAGAGGAAACGGAGCAGGACTTGGCTGGGCGGGGGAGCTGCCCCACCTCTTTGGGGTCGCACAGCTGGAACTCGCGGCTGTTGCCAGTCCAACGGATGCAGCTGCTACGCGCCCCGTCGTGCAGCAGCTCCAGGAGGAACTGCCACAGCTGAATGGGACCTGCGGGATGAAGGGAGGGGACACTCAGTCTTCCCGGCCCTAGATCACACCACTTCAATGATCTAGAGGTCCGGGTCCTCCCAACTCGGGACCCAGGAGTCTGGATCCTCCCCTTCTCTGAGATCCACGAGTTCAAATCCCTCTATATAGGGGACCCAACAGTCAGTCTTGGAGACTCAAGCGTCCAGGACCCCAGTCTCAGAGATTTAGGAGTTTGGCCTCCCCATCTCGGAGACCCAGGAGTCTGGGCCTTCATCGCTTTCGTTTTATATAATCCAGCAGCCTGGGTCCTCCTCACTCTCTTGGTCCCTATAAGACTACCAGTGTCTTAGCCCTCTGGAGGAGAGGAGTGCGGGCCACCGGCCCCTCCTCCCTCGAGTCCATGGTCCCTAAACCCCGCCCCCTCGCTGTCAGTCTCTCGGGCCCCGCCCCCTTAGGTCCCAGCTCAAGACTCCAGCTTCGCCCTCCCTGCAGTCTTTGTGGTCTTCTCACCTCGGTGGTTAGTTTTGGGGCATCGAGCCAAACTGGCACGGTCCGACTGCGGGCTCGGTTCGGAGGAAATGGTGAGAGCTGAACTCTGGTACCCTTTCAAAGAGGTGGTGCCATCCGCACGCAGCCCCGGGTTCCAGGAGGTGGTACAGTCCGGGCCCGCGGGCCCGCCCCACGAAATGGTACAGTCCGTGCGCGGCTCCCCGCCCAGGCTACTGCCCCAGTAGGTGATGTCGTCGGGGCCCACAGAACAGTCCCAGGTGGTGTTGCTCCCGGCGGCCTGGGCGCGCGACCACAAGGTGGCCCCTCCCTCCGCGGGGATGCAGTTGTGGCCCGCGGCGCTTTCGGAGCCGGCAGCAGGGGCGGGGCCCGGGCCGGGAGGGGCGGGGCCCAGCGTCTGCGAGGCGCCACTCCAAGAGTCCCAGGCCTGTCTCTTATACACATCTAGATGTGTATAAGAGACAGGTTGTGGCCCGCGGCGCTTTCGGAGCCGGCAGCAGGGGCGGGGCCCGGGCCGGGAGGGGCGGGGCCCAGCGTCTGCGAGGCGCCACTCCAAGAGTCCCAGGCTGTGCACGCCACGTCTGTCCAGTCCCCCGACCACGGAAGTGCCTGAGGGTCGGGCTCTGTGAGGAGTAACGGACCCTGAGTGAGGGGAGCCCAGGTGCACCCTCAAAAACTCTAGGGGTCTAAGCTCTCAGCCCTGGCACTTGGGGCCGGGCTGTCCCTGATCCAGGCCATGCCACCTTGAGAGCGCAGGTGTTCTCAGTCCTCAAAGATCAGGGAGTCTACACCTCCAGCCCTGGTGCCTCGGGACTCCAGTCCCCTCCTCCCACCGCCTCTCCCCACACTCACCCGCCCCCCATGGAACTTCTGGGTGCAGTAACGCGGAGCCCCAGTCCAGCTGTGGGAAGCTTGTCAGGGATGAGCTTGTACCTGAGTTTATGGAGGAGTGTGAGCAATGACAGAGAACCCTCAACTACCCACTCTCTGGTCTTTACTTGTCAGGGACTGGGAGTTATGACCCCCCAGCCCCTATTTCAGCACCCCACGCCCCCTTTTCCTTCACCCTCAGGGAGTCAAGCACGCGGCCCCTCCCCACCCAGTCCCAGGAGCCTAGGCACGCCCCCCTCCTCCCTTTTCCCTAGGATTCCACCCTCCCCGCTTCTTTTCCAGCACTGAGGGGTCCCAGCCCGCAGCCACCTTTCCAGCATGTCTCTGCTGTCGCTGTCGGCGTGTCCCCTTGGAGTGCCACATCAGGGACATAGAAGCCTAATTCGGCTCCTTCTGCAGGCGATAAGGGTTTAGGGTTAGCAGAGGCCCCACCTGGACACCCTCCCCACACACGTTGTGGCAGCCCCGGCAGCCTACCCAGCCCTGGCAGCCTACCCAGCCCTGCCAGCTTGTTCCCTGGAGGCACTTCCTGTGGGGATGCCTCATCCCAGTTCCACAGGTCCATGGATGCGATGCCTTCTGAGTGTTCTGGGTCGGAAAAAGTCCAGATGGCAATGGGTGAGCTGGTGACACTTGGAGGCCCTAGAGTCTGGGCCTCAGCCCTGGCTTCCCTCACAGCCAGGAGTCCAGGCCTCCGCTCCCTCCTTCCCCAGGAGCCTAGAATCTTGGTCCCGGGAGTGAGGGACCCCAGCTCTCTTCCTCTCTCAGACCCAGGAGTCCAGGCCCCTGGCCTCTTGGGAGTCTAGTCCCCAGGTCCTTCCTAACCCAGACACCCAGGCATTTAGTCCTCAGTTCATGGCTCACCTCTGGCGTGTTCCTCTGCCCCAGCCGGGGGTCTCAGCCCCATTTCATACCATGCACCCCCTCCCCCAAGGGCCCGGGCAAGGGGGAATTTTCCGAGACGTCAGAGCAGGGGTCGCAGCCAGGCTCAAGTTGCAGGGGCAGGGGCGGGGCCGAGCCGCGACCCCCGCCTCGGGGATGGGTGCTGGCCTCTGGGGCTGCCCTGCTGCAGGGGTGGCGTGGGCTTGGAGCGGGGCTTGGGGAACAGCGGGCTGGGTGAGGGCGGGGCGGAGGCTGGAGAAGTTTACGGGGTGATGGGGGCGGGGCGGGGGACTTGGTGAACAGGCTCTCTGCCTCAGGGTCTTGATCCTGCGACATGGGGGGAGTGAGGGAAGAGGGTCTGGGGTCAGCTGGGCTGAGCTGGGCTTATCTGCAACAGGAAGAGGGATTTCCGGCCAGATTCTCCCACCCGCCCCCAGCGTCAGCTGACGTCACAATCGGCAGAGTAACTGCAGGGGGTGGAGCAGGAGTGAAGGCCGACCCAATCCCCCACCGGGCCCCTGGGGGCTGCTTCCCAGGAGTGCCAATCATAACAATATTGACAAAAACAATTTCAACAATAACGATAGTAGCAATAACAGCCAACATTAAATGAGGGCTCATTGTGTGAAACCAACTGTGCCATGCGCCTTCATTGCATCCTTCTATGAGGCAAGTACAATACATACTCTCATTTGATGAAGGGGGAAATTAAGGCAGACATCCTCCCACTGCCCTTCTCCAGACCCCATGCCTTCCGTGCTGTAATAGTTTAGGACAATTGGGGAAATTGGAGTATGAACTGAATATGAAATATCATAGAATTATTTTCTTAGGTTTGATAATGGTATTCAGGATGAAATATCATTTAGGAAATGAACTCAGAGATGAAATGTTATAATGTCTGTAACTTGTGGTTGGGTGCGGTGACTCACACCTGTAATCCCAGCCCTTTGGGAGGCTGAGGCAGGTGGATCATCTGAGGTCAGGAGTTCGAGATCAGCCTGTCCAATATGGTGAAACCCCGTCTCTACTAAAAATACAAAAAATTATCCGGGCGTGGTGGCGGGTGCTTGTAATCCCAGCTACTTGGGAGGCTGAGGCAGGAGAATTACTAGAACCCGGCAGGTGGAGACTGCAGTGAGCCGAGATCGCGCCATTGCACTCCAGCCTGGGGAACAAGAGTGAAACTTCATCTCAAAAAAAAAAAAAAAAGTCTGTAACTTGCTCAAATAATTCAGCAAAAAAACAACAACAAAAAAAACCCAGCTATACATGTAACATATACATACATACATGAAATATTTAGGACATGCCTAAACTATAAAATAGTTCATTTAAATTCAATAACTGGGTGTCCTGTATATATATATAATATTTTTCCAGACGGAGTCTTGCTCTGTAACCTAGGCTGGAGTGCAGTGGTACACTCTCAGCTCACTGCAACCTCCACCTCCAGGGTTCAAGCAATTCTGTTGCCTCAGCCTTCCAAGTAGCTGGGATTACAGGCAAGTGCCACCACGCCCAGCTAATTTTTTTGTATTTTTAGTAGAGATGGGGTTTCACCATGTTGGCCAGGCTGTTCTCAAACTCCTGACCTCAGGTGATAGGCCTGCCTCGGCCTCCCAGAGTGCTGGGATTACAGGCGTGAGCCACCGTGCCCTGCAAGTGTCCTATATTTTTATTCGCTAAGTCTGCAACCCTTAACCCAGGTAACTTGGCTTCAGACTGTGCCCATCGTGCTATAGTTTTTTGTTTGTTTTTGTTTTTTGTTTTTGAGACAGTCTTGCTCTGTCGCCTAGGCTGGAGTGCAGTGGCACGATCGCAGCTCACCACAAGCTCCACCTCCCGGGTGGGCATTCTCCTGCCTCAGCCTCCTGAGTAGCTGGGACTACAGGCGCCCGCCACCACGCCTGGCTAATTTTTTTGTATTTTTAGTAGAGACGGGTTTTCACCATGTTAGCCAGGATGGTCTTGATCTGCTGACCTCGTGATCCGCCCATCTCAGCCTCCCAAAGTGCTGGGATTACAGGCTTGCCACTGCGCCCAGCCTTTTTTTTTTTTTTTTTAAGAGAGTCTCTCTGTCACCCAGGCTGGAGTGCAGTGGCACGATCTCAGCTCTCTGCAACCTCTGCCTCTCAGGCTCAAGTGATTTTCCTGCCCCAGTCTCCCAAGTAGCTGGAATTACATGTGCACACCACCATGCCCGGCTAATTCTTTTTTTTTTCTTTTTGACAGGGAGTCTCGATCTGCAATCTCTGCCTCCCAGGTTCAGGTGATTCTTCTGCCTCAGCCTCCCGAGTAGCTGGGATTACAGGTGCCCGCCACTACGCCTGGCTAGTTTTTGCATTTTTAGTAGAGACAGGGTTTCACCATGTTGGCCAGGCTCCTGACCTCAAGTGATCCACCTGCCTCAGCCTCTCAAAGTGCTGGGATTACAGGCGTCAGCCACCATGCCTAGCCTAATTTTTGCATTTTTAGTAGAGATGGGGTTTTGCCATGTTGGCCAGGCTGGTCTTAAACTCCTGGCCTCAAGCTATCCACCTGCCTTAGCCTTAGTGCTGGAATCAGAAGCATGAGCCACCGTGCCCAGCCCATCCTGCTGTATTTTAATAAGTGCGTAATATTTACCATTAAAAGTAACTTTTGCATATAGGCATCTTTCAATCCCCACGCAGCCTGTTGATCATTAACTACTTGCTCTTCTGGAGATCGGGGGGCACTGCTCCTCCTTCTGTTTTACAGAAAATAAACTGGGCTCCATGGGGTCCCATGGGGTGGGAGTGGGACTGGGATGGAATCAGTGTGGGGTGAGCCACAGAGCCCTGGAGCATCACTGGCCCCTCTATCCATCCAGTGCGGGGGCCTGAAGGGAGTCCTGGCTTCCTGTCCTTGAAGCTGGCCTCTTGTCTGACTGTCTTTCCATGTCTCCCTGCCCTCTTTCTTCAGGTTGGCGTCTCTAAAGCTGGGTCTCTGTTGCCATGGGCCTGACTCCAGTGAGGCTTTGTCACCCAGTCTCTTCTGACATCTCTGTCCCTCCCCATCTGTCTTTGAGTGTTCCTATCTCATCTCCTTGTCTGTCTCCATCTGTCTCTTGGTTTTCTCCCCGTCTCCCTTCCCACTGCAGTCTCTGATGGTTCTCATCTCTGCCTCTAAGCCTCCTGCTCACAGCGCCATCTCTACCTCCGCCTGCCACATTCTGTGTGTGTCTCTCCCTGTTCTCAGGAAGACTCACGTACATTAAAAAGAAAAAAAGATAAAACACTTAGGGGGTACAAGTGCAGATTCCTTACTGGATACATGTCACGGTGAGGCCTGGGCCTTTAGTGCACCCGAATAGTGAACAACGTACCCAACTGGTAACCGTTCAGTTTCCCCCACGCTCCCGCCTTTTGGAGTCTGCAGTGCCTGTTGCCCCACTCTGCATGTCCACCTGTACCCACTGTTCTGCTCCCACTCGGGAGTGAGAATCACATGCATTTGGAAGCGTCCTTTCTGGAGCCATCCTCTCTTCCCATCTCCTCCCATGCCCCTATACTTGCAGTGATCACAAGGGGGGTCGGGGTAGGAAAGACTAGTGATGGGGGGAAGGGGCTTTGAGGATCCTGGGGCTGGGTGGTCTGGCCCAGGTGGCAGGGGGCTAAAGGGCACTTCCTGCCAGGGAGGGAGGCTCTCAGCCTCTGACCGGACTGGAAAATGTGACGTCAGAGAGGGGGCAGTAAGGCAGGCAAGACAGGAACAGGAGAAATTCGACACCTCTCCTGGGGGACCTCCATCCCTGAGAGGCCTTGGTATTGTCCATCCCCCGACTTATGCCCCACAAAGTCCTGCCCAACCTGCTCCCTCCTAATGGAGGGTTCTGATGGCTGTGTCCCTGGGAGACCCCCCTCTCCTCCCCATACTCAGACCCTGCCATCTCCCCTCCTCTGGCTTGGTCCCTGCCCCAGCCTCCTTCCAGACTTCCAGCCACAGTGGTGGTCGCAGGGCTTTTTTTTTTGGAGACGGTCTCACTCTGTCACCAAGGCTGGAGTGCAGTGGCGCGATCTGGGCTCACTGCAACCTTTTACGGGGTTCAAGCGATTCTCCTGCTTCAGCCCTCCCAAGTAGCTGGGACTACATGTGCCCACCACCATACCCAACTAATTTTTGTATTTTTCAGTAGGGATGGGGTTTCACTATGTTGGCCAGGCTGGTCTTGAACTCGTGACCTCAAGTGATCTGCGTGCCTTGCCCTCCCAAAGTGCTGGGATTACAGGCCTGCGCCACCGCGCCCAGTACACATCTGTGCTGCCTAGGACCTTGCTGCTGCTTGAATTTCCTCAGCTTTTTGGGGTTTGCTGCTGCCTTCTACATAAAGCTTAAGCTCTCAGCCTGGCATTCAAGTCCCTGCACAGACACCTCTTCAGACAGGCAGAGGCCAGCTTGGAGCTGGGAAAAGAGGGGGACAGACCCCGAGTCTCTGTTCTCTCTCTCCATCTGTGGGTCTCTCCTCCTTTTTCATTTCCCAGCTTCAAAGGAAAGAACAGAGACCAAAAGGGATATAGAGGCTTAGAGACAAGAAATGGAGGGGTACCCACAGAGACAGAGATGCAGAGGTGCCCACCGAGACTTAGAGCATGGCGAGCTGGCTGGGCGTGGCAGACTGGAGAAGCTGGAAAGCCCGAGGAGACTTGGGGGTGGACAGTTCCTTCAGGAAGGGCCCCCTCACCCACAGGTCAGTGCCCTGGGTGCCCCCATCCTGCCCTGACCACTCTGGGCTCTTACTGTCAGGGCATTGAGCCTATTTTCTGCCACTGGACCTTGAGCTCTAAGGGTGCAAGGCCCAGGACTTTTAGTCACCATTGTGTCCCCAAGCACTGTTCAGACCCTTGGTGAGTCTGCTGGATGGAGGGCCTAGAAGGCTGTGAGCTACAGAAGGGAAGGGCCTAGAAGATCTCCTACCTTAGTGCTGAGAACACAGGAGGTAGCCAGGACACAGGTGTGGGCCTCAGCTTGGCTCAACCCTTGCCACTGGCGCCCCCTTTCTCCTCTGGAGTGGGCGGCACTCGGCATGTGTGGAAAAGGTTTGAAGAGGGAATGGGTGCACAGGAAGGGCTCAGAAGCCCCTGCCTGGGTGTTTGTCTGGGTAAACTCTCAAGGCTCCCCGCCATTTCCACGTGTGGGGAAGCCAAGCCCTGCTCCCCACAGCGTGCTTCCATGCCCAGGCAGGGGTGGAAATGAACATAAATTTATTGAAACTGGTTTTGGGGCAGGGGATGCGTGGACAGCTGGGGGTTTTCCAAAGAGAACTGAGGGAGGAGCCAGCGCCCGGCCAGGTGGGAGCGGGTGCCTGGCCACAGACCCTATCTCAGGCCCAGCTTCTTCTTTTCCTTCTGCTTCTTGCGGACCACGTCCAGATTCCGG